TTTTCCCCTCATATGCACCCACATATTTTTCTCTATCTCACTCTCTATTTATTTTACCAATCTGGCTCCTGGTGGGCTGCAGTCCAGCAAACCTTGGTGGACACTCCAGGTTCCCTGATCTATATTCTTCACTCTATGTCTCTTTCTCTGTACCTCACTTCTCAGTATTGTCTGCATTGCTAATCATTTCACTTATCACTTATTGTCAGACTGTAAAACTACACACACTGCAGATTCATACTGGATTAAAATCACTCCACAATTATTACTGACAGACTGTAAAACTACACACACTGCAGATTCATACTGGATTAAAATCACTCCACAATTATTACTGTCAGACTGTAAAACTACACACACTGCAGATTCATACTGGATTAAAACCACTCCACAATTATTACTGACAGACTGTAAAACTACACACACTGCAGATTCATACTGGATTAAAATCACTCCACAATTATTACTGTCAGACTGTAAAACTACACACACTGCAGATTCATACTGGATTAAAACCACTCCACAATTATTACTGACAGACTGTAAAACTACACACACTGCAGATTCATACTGGATTAAAACCACTCCACAATTATTACTGTCAGACTGTAAAACTACACACACTGCAGATTCATACTGGATTAAAATCACTCCACAATTATTACTGTCAGACTGTAAAAACTACACACACTGCAGATTCATACTGGATTAAAATCACTCCACAATTATTACTGTCAGACTGTAAAACTACACACACTGCAGATTCATACTGGATTAAAATCACTCCACAATTATTACTGTCAGACTGTAAAACTACACACACTGCAGATTCATACTGGATTAAAATCACTCCACAATTATTACTGTCAGACTGTAAAACTACACACACTGCAGATTCATACTGGATTAAAATCACTCCACAATTATTACTGACAGACTGTAAAACTACACACACTGCAGATTCATACTGGATTAAAACCACTCCACAATTATTACTGACAGACTGTAAAACTACACACACTGCAGATTCACACTGGATTAAAACTACTCCACAATTATTACCGTCTGACTATAAAAACTACACACACTGCAGATTCATACTGGATTAAAATCACTCCCAGCCTTGCCTCTTTCTCTTGCATCCATGCATGCACACTCACGCATACACCTGCCCTGCACTGTTGCCCACACACGCTGCCAAACTTTTCCATCAGGAGAAAATGTCAAGCTGCCGTTTTGACACTCGTGGCTCATATATCACTCGTGCCTGTGCAACCAAGCAGCACTGCTTATTTTAGCAAACGAGGCCGCAATGTTTTCCCCATAAATCTTTCCTTTCGTTTCAGATCTTTCTCTCTCTCCTCCTCGTACTTTATACCCTGATGTGTCCTTAGTCTATTAGCCCGTGAAAAACTCATCCCTTGGCCGAAACCTGGATCTGCATGACATTTGTCCTTCCATTTGATCCGCCGCATTGCCACGCACTCAGTTCTGTCCAGATCAGAGTTCTGGGAAACTTATTTGTTCTCCTATTTGTGTTTAGTCTGCTGACTGAAGGCAACGGGAAACGGCCTGCACAGAGCTCACTGTCTGTAAGAGAGAAAAGATTTGGCATTAAGCCTGAAGCCTTGGCCGAGTCCTTCAAATCTGAATGCTGGTGGAGCGACTGAGACTGATGAGGGAGGTGTTCAGGGTGCAGACTAAGCCACTTCTGGATTAAGGACGGTAAAACTAATCCAAATGTAACTTGTCAAGGTTTGACTGGCCAGTTCATACCAGAAAAAGTATCTGTGCGATTTCCCCAAATTCCCAAAGATTTAAAACAATACATTGGATGTTCATATCAACGTTTAATACAACCCCATTTCCAAAAAGTTGGGACGCTGTGCAAAATGTAAATTAAAACAAAATGCAATGATGTGCAAATCATTTAAACCCTATATTTAATTGAAAATAGTACTAAGACAAAAGATCAAATGTTAAAGCTGAGAAATTTGATTGTTTTTTGAAAAATATATGCCCATTTTGAATTAGATGCCAATAACACGTTCCAAAATAGTTTGGACGGGGGCAACAAAAGGCTGGTAAAGTTGTGTAATGCTGAAAAAAACACGCAGTGGTAACATGATTGGGTATAAAAGAGCATCTCAGAGAGGCAAAGTCTTTCAGAAGTAAAGATGAGGAGGGTTCACCACTCTGTGAAAGACTGCACCATCAAATAGTGCAACAATTCAGGAATAACGTTTCTCAACACAAAATAGCAAAGAACTTTTGCTTTTCATCAACTACAGTACATAATAACATTAAAAGATTTAGAGAATCTGGAGAAATCTATGTATGTAAGGGACAAGGCCAAAAACCAGTATTTGCTGGCCGTGATCTTTGGGCCCTCTGGTGTAAAGACCACTCAGCTTGTTATCAGAACACAGTTCTAAAGCCAGTATTCATGATGGTATAGGGGGCATTAGTGCACATGGCATGGGTGACGTGCTCATCTGTGAAGGCACCATTAATGCTGAATGATATATACATGTTTTGGCAACATGTGCTGCCATCCAGACGACGTCTTTTTCAGAGAAGGCCTTGATTATTTCAGCAAGACAATGTCAAACCACATTCTGCATGTATTACAGCAGCATTGCTCTGTATTAAAAGAGTCCGGGTGCTAAACTGGCCTGTCTCCTCAGTTCCCAGATGCTTACAGAGTGTTGTTAAAAGAAGAGGTGATGAAACACCCAACTTTTTTGGAACGTGTTATTGGCAACAAATTCAAAATAGGCATGTATTTTTAAAAAAAAACAGTACAATTTCTCAGTTTCAACATTGATATGATGTCTTTGTAGTATTTTCCTTTAAAAATATGCTTTACTTGATTTGCACATCATTAACTTCATTAGCCCAACTGTTTTGGAAATGGGTTTGTATAAAATAACAGACATGTTTTGCTCTACAACAATACTGTAACATACAGTAGGCCTGTACTGAGGATAAAGGAACTCTGTCAAGAGCCATTTTAGCAATATGTGTCTTCTGGTGTCTTACTGCCTGACTGTAAACACTGTTTACAGTCTGACAGTAATAATTGTGGAGCGATTTTAATCCAGTATGAATCTGCAGTGTGTGTAGTTTTACAGTCTGACAGTAATAATTGTGTAGCAATTTTAATCCAGTATGAATCTGCAGTGTGTGTAGTTTTACAGTCTGACAGTAATAATTGTGGAGTGATTTAATGTTTTTATTTACATTTATTTACATTTTACACAGCGGCCCAACTTTTTTGGAATTAAGGTTGTGTGTTTTCTGCTGCTTTCCTAACAATAAAAAATGAATAACTTGTACTTAATGGCCTTTTTGAGCAGAAATTATTATCAATGATCTCCTTTGGACAGAACTGTTTGAAAGAGAGAGAGAGGGAGAGAAAGAGAGAGAGGTGTCTGTGGGATTGTGTGTGAATGTGAGAATGAGAGAGAGAGGCGTGTGTACATGAGAAAGAGAGAGAGCAGACAAGCAGAAACAGACAGACAGACAGACAGACTACATTCCACAATAAGGCACGAAATGTGATACAACTTTGTTTTGCTCTTCAGAGGCAAAACATCTTTGACTCCACTTTCATCCACATTCAGAGCTGAAAAGCATAAACAAAACATTAAACAGCACATAAATATGCAGCGCGTGCAGGATTACTAGAGCAGCTTGTACTGGGAGTATGAATGAAGCAGGCGAGAGCCCCCCGCCCCCCCACATCTATTTTTGTTGTTTTCTCCACCCGTATTCCGGCAAGCCCCGCCCTCCTGCGCTTGAGTTTCTGTTCTTAAATGTTACAGGGCTCATATCCTTCATTTTCCCCATACATTATGTTCTTCCCCATAGTATTTGTGTGGATCTATATACCATAAACAGTCATAATTTGTTTTCACATGACCATTTTCCCATCTGTCTTCATCTCTTGGAATGAACTGGGCTGTCCCCTAAGACTGACATATGTAAATGACCTCTGTCCTCTGTCCTTATGTATTGTGCCTTACTTTAAAAGCATTGAGATACAAGGTTTTGTTCAGACAGCAGGGATATGCTGTCCAAAAGTATACGGACGCCCCCATTCGAAACAGTGAATTCAGAGAAGACAACTGACCTACGGAATGGGACGCTCTGGAGCAGCTGCACACGAGCCTGAGGTCATAAAGGGTTCTGCTATTTTTACAAGCTTGACATGATAACAATGGAAGAACCCCTTTTGGTGCTGTATGGAGCTGCACACTCTTAAAAAGATTCCTTAAGGGTTCTTTAGTAAAGAAAATGGTTCTGTGTAGAACCATGAGCACTCTAAGAAGCCTTTGCATAAAAGGTTCTTTAGATTGATGGAAAATATTCATGAATGTGCTACAGATGATTCTATATAGAACCTTTTTGAAACTTGTTCTATTGTTAGAAGCTTGATATTGGAACAATAGAAGAACCCTTTGGGGTGCTATATAGAATATAATATTCTCAAAAAGGTTCTATATAGAACCATCTAAAGCACACTTTCCATCAATCTGAAGAACCAACTCATGATGCAAAGAACCCTTAAATCATGCAATGTTTATGGTTCTATATAGAACCATTTTCTTTACTAAAGAACCCTTGAAAAACCTTTTTTGTAAGAATGTAGATAAGCTCTCTCTCTCTCTCTCTCTCTCTCTCTCTCTCTCTCTCTCTACGCTATGATGCAAAGAACTTTCGACTATATAGAACCATGTTCTTTACTAAAGAACCCTTAAAGAACCATCTTTTTTAAGAGTGCAGAAAACTACCACCGCCTGAGTTTTGGGCTGTTCTGATGTCCCACTTTACCTGAACTGACCTTACTAGCCAATCCCGTCGCAGGAGGCGGGGCTTTACGACTCAGTTACAACACAGGAGGGCGTTACTTGTCGGAAAACGGGTGGGGGAAAGGCTGAAGCCACGCCCCCTCACTCACTCTGCCCGCCGTGGACGGTCGTGAGAGAGAGACTGTGTGGCGCGTCTCGCCTAGTCTCGCACCCGCCAGACGTGTCTACGGAGCCGCGCGCGCGAGAGGGAAGCGAAAGCGGGACAGGGACAGCGCGCGGGACGACGTAGAGCTCACTGAGCTTGAAGAACAACTTTTTTTTTCGGCGCGCGCGGAACAGGGATTCGCTCGCGGAGCACCAGGTTTCGCCGCATGAGGTCGGTTGTTTTTCTTTTTTCCTTTTTCGCTTTTGCTTTCTTTTCGCTTTACCATGCCGTGACGCGCGCGCGACGCCCGAGAAAGCAAGACAGAACGTAAACAAACGCGCGCTGATCCCAGTGGCGCGCGCGCGCGCGGGCACGCACTCCGTCTTGGTTGTTTTCCCGCTTTCTTGACGACCATGGCGGCCGGGCTGAACGCGACGTCGCTGCTGGCGAACAGCACGCGCGGCTGCTCGCTCACCAAGACGGGCTTCCAGTTTTACTACCTGCCCACGGTGTACATTGTGGTCTTCGTGACCGGACTGCTGGGCAACGGTGTGGCCATGTGGATGTTCGCGCGCCACCTGCGCCCGTGGAGCAGCATCTCGGTGTACATGTTCAACCTGGCGCTCGCTGACCTGTGCTACGTGCTCTCGCTGCCCTTCCTCATCTTCTACTACTTCAACAAGACGGACTGGGTGTTCGGGGACGCCACGTGCCGCCTGCAGCGCTTCGTCTTCCACCTCAACCTGTACGGCAGCATCCTATTCCTGGCGTGCATCAGTGTGCACCGCTACACGGGCGTCGTGCACCCGCTGCGCTCGCTCGGGCGTCTGGAGAAGAGGCACGCGGTGCGCACCAGCGCTGTGGTGTGGCTGGTGGTGGCGGCGGGCGTCGCGCCCATCCTGTACTACTCGCGGACGGGCCAGAAGCGCGGGGGTGGCACCACCTGCTACGACACCACCACGGAGGACGAGCTGGTCGGCTACTTCGTCTACAACATGTGCATGACCGTCTTCGGCTTCTGCGTGCCCTTCACCGTCATCCTGGTCTGCTACGGCTTCATCGTGCGCGCGCTGGTGTGCAAGGGCGTGGACGGCATGGAAATGAGCGTGCCCCTGCGCAAGAAGTCGGCGCGGCTGGTGGTCATCGTGTTGGCCGTCTTCGCCGTCTCCTACCTGCCCTTCCACGTCATGAAGAACCTCAACCTGCGGGCGCGCCTCTACTTCCAGAGCCCGGACATGTGTGCCTTCAACGACCGCGTCTACGCCACCTACCAGGTGACCCGCGGCCTGGCCAGCCTCAACAGCTGCGTGGACCCCGTGCTCTACTTCTTGGCCGGCGACACCTTCCGCCGCAGGCTGTCGCGGGCCACCAAGAGGAGCGGCAGGAAGAACGAGGCCACCGTGCAGTCCAAGAGCGAGGAGACGGCGCTCAACAGCTTGCCGGAGTACGTGGAGAACGGGAGCCGGTCTGTCTAAGAGAGAGAGAGAGTGTCCGAATGCTTACAGCGGTCACTCCTCGCCTTCCGCAGCCTTCGGAGACACAAAAACTGAAAACCCAGTGCTAAAAACAATTAGCATAGCAAAGGCAGGAAGGTGCTCTATGGATAGATGTTAAAAAAAAGTGAATTTTAAGTGAATGGACAAAAGGTTAAAAGGCCAAGAGGACGACAAGTGGGCCACTTTGAGACAGGGCAGCAGGACACCTCCTCAGTGCCAGAGCAACACAGTAAAAAGACTTAGCAGAGAGAGCTACCAAAGGATGCTAATGAAAGGTGCTGTATGGGGGCTCAAAAATACAAAAAAAATGGAAACTGAAAATGAAAAAGCCTTTGTTAGATCATGGCTTTGAACCCTGATCATTTCCTGACGAATGTCCAACCCTGGAGCCGCGCACGAAAGCGGACATTCCTCGCTGGCTAACAGGATGGCCAACGTGTAAATGCTAATCTGTTGTATTTCTCCATGTGAATATCAATTCATAGTACTGTATTACATTTGCCAGTATTATATGAGCAGGATTACAAAAAAAAAAGCTGCTGTCTGGTGACTGATGTTCTGTGAAAGCTTGACTGTAACCAATGCAGCAGAGTAATGATGGTAGGCTAACCGGCCAATTAATGCTAAGTCCATAACACATCAGGTGGTGTGAGTGCAGTAGAGAGCGATGGGGCGTGTACGGCCCCCCCGAGATGCCTGAATGCATTTCATTTGTAGTACAATAAACCAGAAAAAGAAGTAAAAGTTGAATCGACTAAGATGAATGTTCTCTCTATTTCGTCTAAAACTTAAATGAGTTCAGGTACATCTGGATTGCTTTATCTTCATGGAGCTCATCCAGGTGGTGATAAATTGGGGGCACATTGTGAGGTGACACTTTTTAAGGTGTATGTGCGGACCGCTGTGTTCCTGCACAGTGATGAATGAGAATGTACAGTCATCGGGCACCTTATTAGAAAACGCTACCTCGCTTGGGTACAGTTAGAATAGTAGAGTAGGAATCCATCTGTTGATGCACAGTTTGTGTTCCCATCCTCTAGTCTTTCATCAGTGGTCAGTTTGTGTTTAAGCCAGTCTTGGCTGGATATTTTTGAGTGGTGGACAGCTCTCAATCTAGCAGTAAAAATCCCAGCAACACTCAGCTGAGAATGGTCCACCCTCCAAAAAACTTCTGGTCAACGGCACTCCTGTGGTCAGAAAAGGTGACTGGTGAGGAAGGGGGCTGATCATTTGTGCAGCAACAGATGGGCTATAGTCTGTAACTGTACATCTATGCAGTGGACCTATAAGGTCAGTATTTCTAATAAAGTGGCCAGTGTGTGGAAGTACAAGATTCGAGATTCAAGAGTTTTATTGTGATATGTACAGCAGAAACCGGTAGTTACACTGTACAATGAAATTCTTACTTTGCTGTTTCTCCATTCACCAATATAGTCTTAGAAAAATATATATAAAACATGAGAATATATTAGATACACTGAATAAGTATAAATACACTAAAAACAAAAAAGTAAAAAAGTACAGTGATATGTGCAAAGTACAAGGTCGGAGTTTCCAATAAAGTGGCCAGTATGTGGAAGTACAAGGTCGGAGTTTCCAATAAAGTGGCCAGTATGTGGAAGCACAAGGTTGGGGTTTGCAATAAAGTGGCCAGTATGTGGAAGTACAAGGTTGGGGTTTGCAATAAAGTGGCCAGTATGTGGAAGTTCAAGGTTGGGGTTTGCAATAAGGTGGCCAGTATGTGGAAGTACAAGGTTGGGGTTTGCAATAAAGTGGCCAGTATGTGGAAGTACAAGGTTGGGGTTTGCAATAAAGTGGCCAGTATGTGGAAGTTCAAGGTTGGGGTTTGCAATAAAGTGGCCAGTATGTGGAAGTACAAGGTTGGGGTTTGCAATAAAGTGGCCAGTATGTGGAAGTTCAAGGTTGGGGTTTGCAATAAGGTGGCCAGTATGTGGAAGTACAAGGTTGGGGTTTGCAATAAAGTGGCCAGTATGTGGAAGTACAAGGTTGGGGTTTGCAATAAAGTGGTCAGTATGTGGAAGTACAAGGTTGGGGTTTGCAATAAAGTGGCCAGTATGTGGAAGTACAAGGTTGGGGTTTGCAATAAAGTGGCCAGTATGTGGAAGTACAAGGTTGGGGTTCGCAATAAAGTGGCCAGTATGTGGAAGTACAAGGTTGGGGTTTGCAATAAAGTGGCCAGTATGTGGAAGTACAAGGTTGGGGTTTGCAATAAAGTGGCCAGTATGTGGAAGTTCAAGGTTGGGGTTTGCAATAAAGTGGCCAGTATGTGGAATTACAAGGTTTGGGTTTGCAATAAAGTGGCCAGTATGTGGAAGTTCAAGGTTGGGGTTTGCAATAAAGTGGCCAGTATGTGGACGTTCAAGGTTGGGGTTTGCAATAAAGTGGCCAGTATGTGGAAGTACAAGGTTGGGGTTTGCAATAAAGTGGCCAGTATGTGGAAGTTCAAGGTTGGGGTTTGCAATAAAGTGGCCAGTATGTGGACGTTCAAGGTTGGGGTTTGTAATAAAGTGGTCAGAATGTGGAAGTTCAAGATTGGGGTTTCTAATAAAATGGCCAGTATGTGGAAGTATAAGGTTGGTGTTTCTAATAAAGTGGTCAGAATGTAGAAAAAATAGGGTTGAGATTTCAAATAAAGTGGTCAGAATGTGGAAGTTCAAGATTGGGGTTTGTAATAAAGTGGTCAGAATGTGGAAGTTCAAGATTGGGGTTTGTAATAAAGTGGTCAGAATGTGGAAAAGATAGGGTTGGGATTTCTAATAAAGTGGTTAGTATGAGGAAGTATAAGGTTGCGGTTTCCAATAAAGTGGTCAGTATGTTGAAGTGTACGGTTAGGGTTTCTAATAAAATGGCCAGTTAGCAGTAAGTTCAAGTACAATAAGGTTGGGGTTTCTAATAAATTTGCCAGTCAGCAGCAAATGGACGTATGAGGTTGGTGTTTCTAATAATGTGGCCAGTTAGTGGAATTACAAGGTTGAGATTTCCAATAAAGTGGCTAGCGAGTGGTACAAGTAGGGAGGGGTTTCTATAAAAGTGGCCAGTATGTGGAAGCACAAGCTTGGGGTTTCTAATAAATGACCTAGTCATCAGGTTTCTACTAAAGTGGTCAGTATGTGGAGTTATAAGGTTGAGATTTCATTGGAGAGGTTTCTAATAAAGTGGCCAGTCAGTAAAAAGTGGAGGTACAAGGATGGGGTTTCTAATAAAGTGGCCAGTATGTGGAAGTGCAAATCTGGGGTTTCTAATGAATTGGCCAGTCATCAGTGAGTGGAAGTATAATGTAGTAGTAATAGAATGTAATTTAATAATATAGTGGACAATTAGTGGAATTGCAAGGTTGAAATTTCCAATAAAGTGGCCAGTTAGTGGAAGTATAAGGTTGGGGTTTCCAATAAAATGGCCAGTTATTGGAAGTATAACGTTGGGGTTTCCAATAAAATGGCCAGTTATTGGAAGTATAAAGTTAGGGTTTCCAATAAAGTGGCCAGTTAGAGGATCCAATGTAGTGGTCAGTCAGCAGTAAGTGGAAGTACAAGGTCCTTCTTCTTTCCACAGCTCTCAAAAGAGTTGCAGGTATAATTGGGGACGCTATGCAACCGTACAGTTCTCTGTAACTGAAACTGTAACTGTGTCTTAAGTGTCTGATGTTGCTCTATGACTCATGAAGTGTCAGAAACGTGCGTTCACACGCTCATTAAACCGCCCGCTGTTTGGACTGCTTCTCCGGCACATCCATTTTATCTAGAAAAACAATCCGTTAACAAGTCTTACCCTGCATTTCTACTGTCACTGTGAGTTTCAGGGCTGAGTTCCAGCTGCTATTATTAATGACCAGATCTCTACAGAGGAACGTGCTATTTTCGGCATGGCTAATCTAACCTGCGATACTGCATTGCAGCCTCAGTGGTTTTGAACACCTATGATGACTATGTAAGATTGTATGAATGCCAATCATCTTTAGATTTTTCATGTGAAGCCCATCTGCGTCATTCTGTTGGACAGGTTGTATCATTTTTTGTCCAAATGTTGAGCAACATTAGTTACGATTATTATTCAGTTTAATGTTAACCAGAAAAACTGGTTCGGAACACAGACAGTCCAGCTCCAGCTGCTGCAGATGATTTCTCGTAACAGGTGCAGATTTACTGATTGGGGCGCTGTCTGGTAGCATCTTCCTCCAAGAGATGGTGTTTATCACTGGCCACTTTATCAGAAACCCCTCTCTTGTAGTTGGTGTGCAGTTAGAGACTGTAGCTTATACATTACTGCACAGTTTGTCCATCGTCCATCATCCATGGTTGGTTTCTGACCACAGAGCTGCTCTTGAATATTTTTTTTAAACCTAGCAGTGACACTGACGTGTAAAAACCCCAGAAATATATGGTCAACAGCTGTCCGGTACTTAGAAACTGACCATTGGTGAACGGGATGGAGTGGGGCTGAGAAATTGTGCTTCATCCAATGGACTACAGTCTGTAATTGTATTAATAAGGTGTACAAAAGCATATAGTGGACCTACAGTAGTGTGCAGAAGTCAGAGACCACTTATAATTTATTTAATGCCCAGTCAAAATGACCATTATTTATTTTAACTTATTCATTTTTAAGCAGAAAACATATTGAACAGAAAATTACTTGGAACTCAATGGCTAAATATAATAACAGACTTTTCAGTATTTAGTGTGTCCACACTTTTTTGCAACTTCCGTTCTTTTCAGAAGATTCACTTCCAGTTTCTCGAAGAAATCTTCAGACGCACCTCCAAAGTTCAGTCTTAGAAGTTGGTTGTATGTTCTGCGTCTCACAATCCAAGTAATCCCAAACACATTCAGTGATGTTAAGGTCTGGACTCTGGGGTGGTCAGTCCATTGTTCTGTTGTTCTGAGAACACCAGCAGCTTCTTTGGCCCAGGCTCATTTCTTATTTTTACCTCTACCCCTTGTTGTCGAGTGTCCGCTTGCCCCTTGGAACTGAGTTACAAAGGGTACCAGACTGTAACTGCTGCACCATTTAAGGTGGAACGGGAAATTTAGCTAGTTAGCTACTGAAACATTAGCCTACTACTAGCGGTTTTTGTGATCATTATGAAGAAAAGGACTGTAAGACAATGAAATGACATTAAACTAAGACAGTAAAATGGTTATCGTAATTCTTTAACAGAGAAAATTCTCACATTTGTGGGTTTGTTTGTTGTCACTTTTTCTTTCATAACACTCTGTTTGGAGTGTGTCTCTGAAAAATCTCCATTTGGAGGGTCATGTAGCCCTAACACTTCGCCCTTCCCCTCTACCTAAAAAAATTGGGACACTCTACACCTAGGCGAGAATGTGCAAAATGGTGGGGTAAGGGCCAAGTAGTAGGGGCAAAAGGTGAAATGGGACTCTGCCTTTGTTCGACGTAATCTTCTCAGAAATATCTGCTGGTAAAGGAACAATTTGTACTTTATGGTCATTTTGACTAGAAATTAAGGAAAGTGATGGTCTCTGACTTTTGCACAGGCTGGCAGAGCTCATAACGTGGCTAGTGAGTGGAAGTACAAGGTTGGGGTGGGTTTCTGATGAAGCAGCCAGTGAGTAAAACTGCAAGGTTGGGGTTTCCAATAAAGTGGCCGGTACGTGGAAGTACAAGGCAAGATAATGTTAACCAGAGACTCCATTTAATGTAATTGCACATGCATACATAATAATACATACATTATATTATTATATACAGACAGACCCACTGAATTATCAAATAT